CTCTCTCTCTCTCTCTCTCTCTCTCTCTCTCTCTCTCTCTCTCTCTCTCTTTCTCTTTCTCTCTCTCTCTCACATCGTAACCGCGCAATAGAGATTAATCGTTTGTCCACCGTCGCGCATCGTCCCGGCCGGACACGACATCGCGCAAATGCCATTTCGCCGATTGTATTCCCCGTATTCCCACCGATCTTTAAATGCCAGAGACCGTGGAAGATAAAGGGAGATAAAGGACGGGACACAAAAGATGGACGGGACGTCTCCGGCGCGTGCAAAGCCACAGACGACGGAATTTTTATTCCGTCGGCGCGATTGGTCGTCGCCGATGAATTTGTTGTTCACTGACGTGTGTGAATCTCCAGAGCCTCTCTAGGGACGTTACCGCGAAATACCTTCGTTCCTGCGATGACACCGCTTTCACTGGATATATCGGTGCACAGCGGATAATCTAGTACGTTTGCGCGAAGTGTTGTGAAATAATGTGATAACTTGCTCCGAGCACGTTATCCTTTTCTTTTTCATTTCAACAGAAAACTGGAAATTACTTTCCGGTAGTGTTTTTCTACACGCGTGTACATTTGTCCGCGGTGCGCTCACGGTCATTTTCTGAAAATATAACACGCCCTTTCCCTCGCGATGTTTTTCCCTCTTTTGTTTCATTTTTTCTTGTTTTGCTTTGTCCCGACTAAACCCATTACAACTCTAACGATGCAGAATATGCGGGAATTTTCATTACTGTCCGCTGTGGGACATTCGCAACGAGTATTGCTGGTTACCAGACCGTTGTCGCCGACAGTATTGACTTATCGAGAATGTGTCTCCGCGATATCAATGGAAAATGCGTTTGAACTGTACTTACATAGAAACAGGAGGACCACGAGACGTAACATGTTTGGTGGATCGTCAGCCACGATCGTCAGCCTCTGTAAACAACATCAATATGTATGATTTATTGAGCGAGCTATGGCAATAATGTCGTTTGCTTGAATTCCATGCGAAATAACGCGAAATTGCCTCTCTCTTTTCAAAATTCATATCACGATTTGTTATTATTAAAATAGCTATGTTGCTAAATGTCGTATTTTTAGTGGCACGTTATTACTATTTACCGAGCGAAATTACGTTTCTATACATTTATTTCACCATCTAAATAATACAGTTTAATTTAAACCAAAGTTGATACATGCACATACACAATATCATCGTGTAGTATTACAATTTTATAATTTCATCTCGATATTAATAATTTTATAAAATATAAAAAATTATTTTTTTTTTATTTTTCTTATTAGTGATTTATTTATGCATCAGTTAATCTAATAAAAATGCGCAGATAATAGAGATATATAAGTATTTACAAATACATGTATATATATATATATATATATATATATATATATATATATTTCGAGCATTACTGTAAAAAATTATAAACTTTCCTGCACTTTCAAAATAAAATAACTAAAATTTGTATGAATGTCTATATAGAGGGTGAAAGAGGGTGAAATTTTGGCGTATATCTTTAATATCATAAGGTGCTTTAAAAAATGTTAACACTTATATACAACATTTGCTCTAAAAAGATTTCTACATTTATATGCAGAAAGTTACTTTCATATAAGTGTTGACATATTTCTGAAGCACCCTGTAGTTTAAAAGATATAAGATCAGCACTAACTACTAACTAGAAGATATAAGTACCAACTTCACACGTGGAACACGTATGAAATGTGCCAATTTCAGTTACAAATAGCTCTCGAATAGTGTTTCTCTAATTGGACGAGCAAGCAAATAGTATTTCGCTGTATATGTAGCTCAACTTTCAACACGAAACTCGTTTCATAATACAACTACCTTGATACAACGACACACCCGCTCGAAAGGATATAAATTTAAATGCCAGAATCATGATTTACGCATAGAACGTCTCCATTCGTCGCCGTCAAATATTATAAATCTGTGAAGTTTGACTTTTCTAATCCTCTCTTATGAAAAATATTCAACAATATTCAGTAGCTTTCTTCGTTAAGAAGAAAAATCGCTTAGAAGGACTCTACAGACAACGCAATGTATCGCGATAAATGGCAGTTTCTCCAATGATCGATCAACTTTATGAATGTACTAATTATCAAACGAAATCTGTCTTCAGATTTAATAGAAGTATGAGAATAGTCGCTGTATTTCCGGGGACGGGTAGAAGGGAACACAGACGAGACGTACAGGTGAGACATTCACGAAAATAGTGCATCGACATGCAAGAGAGAACCATAAAATATATGTGTTTTCGACGCGAGGTCTAATTAAGGGATAATTGTTCCAGCAGTGCAGCGCGCTTCGGAATCGCGCGGGCAATATCGGTTTGTCGATCGATGAGGTAATAAGCGGAGATAAGAGAAGGCGGTAGGTGGCTGAAATTTCGAGAGGGAAACGCGCGCGCGCGCGCGTTCGTGGCAAACTGGTTCGGACGACAGATCGAAGAGCTCCAATCCGAAATGGAGTGATCGTATTGTATAATTAGGCATGATAAATATGCAGCAGCGCGTGTTGGGTAATACAGGGCGGCAACACTATTTCGATCCGTTGTTAAAACTGATGGAGACAGCGCTGACAGTATTTCGTAACGAGCATCTATTTTATCAATCTCTCGGTTACAAATTTTTTTTTAATAAACCACAATCGACCTCACGCCCTCATCTGTCAACGGAAATTTTGCTGACTGTCATTTCTTCCACTCATTAATTCCTAACGCTATAAATATTGCGACAGAGGCTCATTAGAAATGTATTCAAAGTAGAATCAATTAGAAAAATATCTCGCTGGTCCAGATAGAATCCTAAATGTCACGGTTAAAATTTATCGCTGTTTTTTGTATCTGCTAGAAAATTGCTTGTGGCACGTAGATATTTGCAGCAGCAGCATTCTGGCAATATCTGCAGGCAAATTTAGGTCTCGCTACCAATTGTCAATCTAGCCTTAATCTAAATAGATCGCCACTGAAAGACTTTCTTGCGAAATTTTACGAACAGTTCAGATAGAAATTCCTTCTTCGCCATCTGTATTGATTAAATACAAAACATACTGCGATATCGCAGTGCTTGCTAGTCTTTCTTATCCATTCTAGATTACTTCTAGATATCCATCTAGATAATTTTCGCTACGGCTACAAGACAATTTTTCTTAGTGATCGCGTGAATTCATTGCGTATACATTCCCAAAATGCAACTCGCCGTAATCTCCTCATCTTCGTTTATTTTTTTATTTCAAGGCCGCCTGTGCTTCGATGATCTCAATATGATCGTGAAGAGAATAATAAAAATTCGTAAAAAAGATGATAGATCGGTTTTGAAATGTCGTATAACGCAAGGTTTCGAAAACCGTTTTAACGCGAAAGGCCTATTGACGAAGCTGCCAGCGCATAATGAATACCGTAATGCATTGAGTCGTGTCAAATATTCTGCCTATCGGTGAACAAGCGCGCGGTGAATGCATATAATTGCAATTTATGTCTATAATGTAGTTATACCAGACCTCGTACTACCACAGCTCGCCGATTAATACTCATTGAACAGGTTGTTGAATCGTGAATTACGCATTGCTGATTTCTACACCGAAAGCTATTATTATGGATATAATCGCATCCCTACTCACGTGAGTGATACGATCATCGCCTAGGGCTAGGTCGTCGACGGTTTCACGTGAATACGTGAGTTGTAGGAGAGATTCGTGTGTGCGTGACAGTTAAGCAATACCCGTCATTAAAGTATAATCCTAACCACATTAATTATAAAAGATTAATTCAGTAAATTAATTCTAGAATGGAAGGGAAGCCTGGAATCGTGTATTTCTCGACGGCGCGCGTCAGAATTCCCGACTTGACCGGTCGAATTACGGAGAATACGCCATTAAAATATCGTATAATGTAAGATATCTTTCGTACAGAAATTTCAGCGAGTGCACAAATCTACGGACATTGTTGCGCTGAAGGTCGCGCGACCTTCAGCATTCGCAGTTGAATACTCGTAGAGACATCACAATCGTTAATCGGAGGCAAGTTACTTTTTCAGATCGGGAAAAGCAACACTTTTCTAGAGTTTATTCCGAAAAAACCGCTAAATGAATATATATGAATTTTATATATGTAATTAAATAATATTTACATTTAACTTCTTAAGTGGGATGTCTGAAAAAATTTTGTGGTAAAGTGTTAAATTTCTCTTAATTTGTATTGTATTTTTTCACTCATAACAAATACAAATTAAGTGTATTTTATATTCTATTTATATAAATTCTTCAAAGAAAATAACGATATGTAGAAAAGAAATCTTAATATACCTATTTAGAAAAAAATGTTCACTCTGGGGAAATCGCACAGTCATTCTGAATCACCACTGAAGAAGTTAAGCGAAAAAATTTATAATTTCTTTCATGCAGAAATAACGTCACAGCATCCATTGCCGCTCCGAGTCTGCGGCTCTTGCACGCCTGATTTGCATGATTTACGTTCCTGCAATAGTTCAATTAAAAATGAAAAAAGTTATAAAATAGTGTTGTTGAGTTATAATCTCTCGCGTCACAGAAGTTTTATTTTCAAACAAATGAATTTTTTTATTAGTTTTAAAGGAAAAATTAAATTTTTTGTTTAAATTCATTTCTATTCTATTTTACGAAAGAAAAATGAAATAAAACAAAAATAACAATTTTGGCGATAACTATAACACTGTTTTATGAATATTGAATATATATTTATTGAATATTGTTATTTTTTCTGGCCTGAGAAAATGATTTACCTCTCTAACGCGAATGAGCGAGAAGCGTAACAGACGATGTCGCACGTTATTTCCGATCTTGTTAAGACAATCGAAGCGGGAGTAACGAGGATTTATGATGCTCTCGACGTGGTTAACGCGTCAGAGTCGCCATGAGCAATGGAAGCGTGGTAAGATTGATAAGGTAACTACTACAGTTAATTTACATTAAATCTGTGAAAGAAATGCAGCCGAAATCTCCGTGAATCCTCCGGACCAAATAAACCACTCTATCCTTGTAATTAATTAGAAGAGAACTAGTTCTCTCTGGTCTCCCCTCCCCAGACTGAACACAGTTTATAGCCGTAGGCGGATATAGTCGCGAAACTGCATTTCCTGCGAATGCAAATGCGGTATCGCAAGGTATGTCTCGAATCACACATAGTTGCCTCTAAGATTATCCTTACTCTCATTTATTTGAATATTAGTCACCTTAATTCCTCATTGGAAAGGTGAAATTGGATGAATTTTGTTTATCCTTTTTTGTTGTATTTTTATAATTTCTCAAACCTTATAATATGTCTTTCACGATTCTGTAGAACATTGAGATTTAATAACAGACAACAGAAAGAAATTCTGAAGATATTACAAGGATTTAAGGAGAACGAAATGGGATGCGTGGAGTCTCTCAGACCCCAACTTTCTGATGACGGGTTAATAATACGTGGATCCTGAGAATCGATAGCTGTATAACGTATGGAAATGAGACAGGCATTATTGAAACGTGTACTAAGCAATTAACACGTCGACTGCCACGCTATAATGTTGCTGCGTCTCACTAATTTACACGTAAAATACATAACCAATTGCGCATAACAAATTAGATATCGAATAGCCTATAGAGAGTCAATGAAACCGAGCTAACGCATGTGTTCACCGCGAAATTGCATTTATTCACCATGTCTGTGGCGATTAAGACTTTAGTCGAGCATTGAAATAATCAATGGAGATCATCGTGGCAGTCAACGTGCAGTAAAAATATATCGCTACCCATAGTGAAATAATATTGCAACATAGAACACGTTCCACAGTTAACCTTCTAGCCGTGATCTGGATCTTTTTCGACCCAGAACAGTTTCAAAGTTCACATAGTTTTGTAATATTCTAAATACAAATGTGATACTTCGCGACTTGTTCAGTTATTTTAAAAAAAGTCAGTACATATTGTACTAAATTACCTTATACAATGCTAAAATAAAAGATATAAAAAAATACATATATATCAATTAAATAGTGAGTTCTCACCATTAGGTCTATTTAGACCCTGAACATGGTCAAAGTATACCCGAAACGAACACAGAAGGTTAAAGGAATCACATGGCGATACTTTCAAGCTCGACTCGGTACACTGAAGAGCATGTGATCTCCGCAACAACAAACGTAGATAACGGACGTAGATAGCGAACTCAATATCATAACAGTCTTAGACATGAAGAAAAACACATTGGGAGGCTTTGTGTATCATTTACACCGAAAAAGTAAAGTAAGTTGCGGCAACAAAAATCTGTGTGTGGCAGCTAAATCTCGTTTGTAACATATGAATACCTAAAAGTATAGCTGCAGTAGATATATATTAGTTATGAAAACGAAGTATATATTTTCTTAAATATAAAAAATACCTTACATATTAGTATATAAATAAACATATTATTAGTAACCATAATAAATATTTTTATTTTTCTGAAATATTTTTTCTTTTAGTGTAAAATTTCTTAAAGAAATACAACCACAGAATCTTGTCAAGTTGTGACAATTGACAGCACTGTAAAACGGAGTCTACAATGAGAACTTAAGCCATAAAACTTAAGCTTTAAGCCTGGAATCGTAAGAAATTGATCAATCACTGTCGGTTATTTTGCTTATATTTAACTGTGATTGGTCAATTTTTTACGACTTCAGGCTTAAAGCTTAAGTTTTATGGCTTAAGTTCTTATTGTAGACCTCGCTTTACGTCCAGAAATGCAATAGACACGCGCGCGCGCTATCGAAACGCAACAATTAAATATATCACAATCTAACGTGAAACGTTAAGATCATAGTGTCGAATAGGTTTAAAGCTGGTGGCACATAGAAAAACAGTAAAACAGTAAGCAATAAACAAATTGATCAATCACAGTCATTGATTCTTCTTACGGTCCAAGAATCAACGACTGTGATTGGTCAATTTGCTTACGTCTTACGTCTTACTGCTTAAGTTTTTCTATGTGCCACGGCCCTAACAATTGAGAAAATCATGTAACGGTATTCTCAAGCACGACTCGACGCGCCGAAGGTCACGCGAGCTTCCGAACAACACACACGTATAGGCAGAGAAGCTCGAAATCATAACAGTCTCGCGCGCGAAGCCGCACACATCGGAAGTTTCCGCGGTCTACTTCCGACTTTTCTAAATTGACTGAAATCTCCGTGAGAGTGATCGAGATACTTCGTACGTGCGATCATACGCGAACAGTAAGAGCACGTTGTAATTTTATTTGTACCAGATTCCATTTCCACTAGTCTCTCTTAAAAGAGAAACGCGCGGTTAAACTTAATCTAACTCTCAACCTAACCTAACCTTTTGCGCTCGACAACCGAAATCTCCTTATATCCGAATAATGCTAGAATTTACCACTACATCGCGAATTCTGTCGCAATAAGTGCGAATGTTGTACCGAAGTATTCGTGAGATTCGAGAATCCTCTCGAATATAAGTTCTCAAACCATCTGTACTCTATTATTTATTATCATTTTTTATCGTAATAAAGCGCAATGTTAAGATTTTAATAGTCAGTAATCGCGCGATACATAAGAATGCAATAGTCGCTGTCGAAACGCGTAGTGAGTAATTAAATGTTGCAATCTGGCATAAAATATTAACTGTAATATGAAGCACGTTAAATAGCGAAGAAATCACAAAAACGCTGGTCTCGAGTACGACTCGCATGCCGTAGATAGCGCGTAATCTTCAAAACAACAACACGCGTCGTTAAAGGATGACTTCCAAATCATAACAGTTTAAACCACGAAAGCGAACATCTCGGCACCTGTCGCGCGCGATTCCCGCGTGATAAATTCATTGAAACTTTTATGAGAGTAATTACGATACCTCGCGCGTGTAATCGTCGCACTGGGATCGCTGTGAACATTCAGAGCGTGGTGTAATTTGAAAGGTAACCACCATAACTCATCTTCATTAGTTTCAAAAAAAAAATACGCGGTTAAACGTAATCTAATCTTCTGTTTCTGACGTGCTACGCTGTGAGAAAATATATCTAAGAAATAAAAAATATTTATGTAATGAATACTGATACATTTTTACTTATACACAGAAAAAAGAATATTCTTGGAGAATATCTTTATTGTTGATATTTTAAAAATAAGATTAATGTGATTAAAATGAGATTATATGACGTTAAATGAAGATAAATTAGTTTTCAATCAAGACGAATATAGTCAAATTAACACAATCATTTTCTCATATAACAAGAATATCAATATTGTTGGTTATATATGAGAAAATGATTGTGTTAATTTAACTATATCCATCTTGTTTGAAAACTAATTTATCTTCATTCAACGCCATATAATCTCATTCTAACATTAATCTTATTTTTAAAATATCAACAATGATAATATTATTATTAGGAAGGACTAATAAATTAAATTCGCGGAAGCATTACGAAAATAAAATGCCGCGGAGCCAGTCATCCGCGAAAATATCGCGGAACAGTCTTCGCAGAAGTATCGCGAATAATCCCCGCAGAGGGGAGATATGGCGAAGCCATCCCGCTGCGTGAAATCTGAATTTCACGGCAGCCGCGTTGTTCGCAAACGGCATCGGCCAATTGATTTCGCGATCGGCACGATCGGTCCTCGGCTCGTGATTTTTTACGTGCGCGATTCGCGAGTGTTCCCGCGCGATAATAAAATTCGCCGTACTCCCGAACTGTCGCAGTTGATCGTATCGCGCGTGTGCTGTGTGTGGTGTCGGAATAATACCGCGACAAATATTCATCAGGGACGGGCGATTTCCAATTTCGTCTTTCGTTAAACGAGTTCGTAGGTTCCGCATCGAGAGAAACCAGAACTTTTCGTCGTACGTGCCAGCGAGAGCATAGGACTCCGTTAAATGCATAAATATTAATTGCGTCGCGAGTGAACCGGCAGTGACGTGAAATGCGGACAACGCGGGACGATGCGGGATGGAAGCTGGGGACGCCGCGAATTCCAGACGCGGAACGACGCAGCCCGGGGATGCAGCGGCGAGTTTCGTCGATGGATGGATTTCAAACGCGAAACGGTGAGTGTTGAATTTCAACACTTCTAGAGTGTCATACGATATGCATGTTTAATCGTAAATCGCAATGATTCGCAACGAAAGACACAATTCTACGCCACTATTTGAACTGAAAAACGTACGGATAATTTAATAACCATATTGCAAGTATCCATATTACAATATTTGAATATTACGAAATTTGATTTTAGTGAAAAATATTACCACGAGAATGTCGAACTTACAGTATTTAGTTAGTTTAACAGTAAAAAAAAAATAATCTTGCCGAAACCCGGGATCGAACCAGGGACATTTAGATCTTCAGTCTAACGCTCTCCCAACTGAGCTATTTCGGCTTATGTGACAGCCGGGCGTGAGAAATAAAATTGTAATACGTTTTCTTTATTGTACTTATGCATCAGGTATAAAAAAAAAGATCCTTTGCCGAAACCCGGGATCGAACCAGGGACATTTAGATCTTCAGTCTAACGCTCTCCCAACTGAGCTATTTCGGCTCATGTTATCGTCGGGTGTGAGAAATAAAATTGCAATACGTTTTCTTTATTGTACTTATGCATCAGGTATAAAAAAAAAGATCCTTTGCCGAAACCCGGGATCGAACCAGGGACATTTAGATCTTCAGTCTAACGCTCTCCCAACTGAGCTATTTCGGCTCATGTTATCGTCGGGTGTGAGAAATAAAATTGCAATACGTTTTCTTTATTGTACTTATGCATCAGGTATAAAAAAAAAGATCCTTTGCCGAAACCCGGGATCGAACCAGGGACATTTAGATCTTCAGTCTAACGCTCTCCCAACTGAGCTATTTCGGCTCATGTTATCGTCGGGTGTGAGAAATAAAATTGCAATACGTTTTCTTTATTGTACTTATGCATCAGGTATAAAAAAAAAGATCCTTTGCCGAAACCCGGGATCGAACCAGGGACATTTAGATCTTCAGTCTAACGCTCTCCCAACTGAGCTATTTCGGCTTATGTTACCGCCAGGCATAAGGAATGAAGTTGCAGTACGTTTTCTTTATTGTACTTATGCATCAAGTATAAAAAAAATCTTTTGCCGAAACCCGGGATCGAACCAGGGACATTTAGATCTTCAGTCTAACGCTCTCCCAACTGAGCTATTTCGGCTCGTGTTATCCTGCTCCTGTTGTGAGGAACAATGTAAAAGAGGTTTAATTAAATGTTTTTTAGAGTCAGGCAAGAATCTAACGCCGAAACTCGAGATCGAGCCAGAGACACTTAGATTTCCAGTATAACGCTCTCCCAACTAGTAGCTGTTGCCCCAATCTTGCCGTGAAGAATAAAAAGATAATAAGTCTTCTTCAATGTTTTTATAAAATCAGACAAAAAAAGAACAAGATCTTCAAACTCGGAATCGAATCTGGAATGTTCAGATCTTTAACCTAATGCTCTTCTGAGCTACTTCAGCTCGTATCATCTTATCCTTGCCATGAGATATGAAACAGGAGATACAGGTTTTCTTCAATGTTCTTATGTGTCAGGCAAAAAAATCTCATGCCGAAACCCGGGATCGAACCAGGGACATTTAGATCTTCAGTCTAACGCTCTCCCAACTGAGCTATTTCGGCTCACGAGCGCTCACCTCATACTGCACTGTACTAAATTACGCAATTTAAGAGTAGAAATACTATCCATAATTAATTTTTAAAATATAACTTTACTTATTAGTATCTAATTTCTAAAAAAATAAACATACATGTCAAAATAAAAAATATAGTAAAAAATTATATAAGAAAATATTTTTAAAATATAGAAAAAATTTTTGTTAGGAATAATTTATCTAAATCTGAATTCATGGATGCGAATGAGGTTTTGAGTTTTCGAGTCGGAACTGATCTCGAATATTTGGATAGTCAGATTTCCAAATATTTGGGAACCCTAAAACAGATACCAAGTCTTGCTAAAATCATTTGTTAATAGTTAATGAATTATTCAATTATATTTGCGTTATATTATACACATGTTTAGTTGAAGTTACTTCACCAATACATCTGGTAACTACAATGAGAAAAAAAGTAATTAACCTAACTAAAATTATAGTTATTTTTGGCCCCAGTTATATTTTTTGTAGTAAAATAGTAGTAAAATAGTAGTGGCAACATGCACATAAGGTCACCAACATTATACTAGACTTTAATTTTAAAAAATGGTTTTCTTTTAACCATAAATCATTTCTCTACGTAATCATAAATTTTTTCTACAATTACACTGAGAAAAAAATTTACTAAATTTCAAAAAACGTTTGTTTGAATAGTACTGTGAAGATATTTGTTTAAATTAAGTAATTATTTTCTAAAATTAAATAAAGAAGTTTTAAATATAAATTTGTTTCTTTAATTGTAGAAAATAATTACTTAATTTAAACAAATATCTTCACAGTACTATCCAAATAAACGTTTTTTGAAATTTACTAAATTTTTTTCTCAGTGTATACAGTTACAAGTACTAAATATTTTTTCAGTGTACTCTATGAGATAGCAGTTTTTTTTTCGTAAAGCACGAATTGAAAAGTATTGTTAATAATGTTAAATATGACAAAGTCACAGTGAAGTTTTCGCTCATTTAGGAATCCACGCACTGTTAAATCCGTAGTGTCAAATTATACTCAATTTAAGTTATTTTTAACCATTCCTATAAGTCGCCACTGCTCCTACTAAATATGTCGTTAATTTAACTAATTAATTAATTTAACTAATTAATTAATTTAATTAATGTAATGGAGTTAAATAATTTAACTTAAGAAATGTATTAAATTTGACTGAAATTTAATTTATTTTTTATTATGTACGTTAATGTAACCTTTGTTTCAGTAAAAAATGACTTAATATTGTTTTAAATGGGTTGATTAGATGTAATTGTTTTTTTAAACACATGTTTTGTGTTAAAATAGTAAATTTTGATACACATAATAGTTAAAAATAACTAAATATTATTTAACTCAAGAAATTGGTTTAAATTTGACCCTCCAATATTTAACAGTGCGGAGATTTAATTCGCAATAGTTCGAGTTAACGCTCGCGCGCGCGTCTCCCCGAAAAAATAGATTGACGTGGGATTACAGGATGTAAAATCACCCGATAATTTTGCTTGCTTTCTTTCTGTCGCCGCAATCGCGGTCCCGCCGATCACAGTTTTCGTCACGAGGAGGCCCCGAGATTACCGTGGAAATCGTCAGTGTGCCGGGCGTCTTATTTCCAATGCAATTTAAGCATAGACCGACAGCGGAATCACGACGAGCGTCGTAATGACGTACTTTCACCGAGTGCCGAGAGTTAATCTTCTCTTTTGGCCCTTTAAATATCTATATCTCTCCCGGGGCGGAGCTTCCGTCCCCGTCCGTCGACTTCGCGTCGGAATCCCGCGGAAATCGTAGCAAATCAATCAAATTCCCCTCGGCAGGAAACCTCGGGGGAGACCCGACGAGCTTTGGGAACAAAAGGAAATTGAAGATGAAGGGCAACAACCGATCAGCCTCCACCGCCAGCTCGCACTTGCTATCCTTTAAAGGTCTTTTACGCGGATATAAAAGGGCAATGACTTCGTGGATAGAAGATCGTTGGATGATTACGTTCCCGGCACGGTAATTCCTATCGAGCGGACGCGCGCCGTTACCTCACCTTCGTCCGAAATTATCAATGCGCGAGTCTGACCTAAATTGACGTATCGCGTGCTTCGAAGCGATCCAGATCGATCGTACAAACCGTTTTTCGGGAACGACTTTCGATCAACGAAATGAAACGCTTTGTATTTAACGCGTTTGCACGTTTACCCTTTGTACCCGGCGATATACGCCTGAGGTTGCGCGCTGCAACCATGGCAAAGCTTAACAAAAACTTCAAAAGCCCTGAAATAATTTAATGTTCCAATGTTCTAATGTACTTGCAATCCTATCCTGATATCCTAACGGTAGAAGTCAGCGCGAAAATCAAATTGAATTAATAATCATATGCCGAGAAAAAGATTTGGTAATAATCATCAAGCCTGGGTAATAGATGCTTTAGTGAAATAATTTCAACTAAACATATAGATAAACATTATCAAATAATTGGTACATATTAACAAATAACTTTAGCAAGGCTTGTGCTATCCGCTGCCAAGACTTGGTATCTGTTGCTAAAACTTATAAAAGAACATTCATACAAACTAATAAACATATATACAGGATATATATACTGACAACCTCCCTTCCTCAAAATCGATTTACGTCCTTTAATTTGCATTAACATTAGAAAGGATATGTTTGTAGCCGTTTATAATTGCATTAACATTTTATATCGACATTCCGAGTCAAAATTTTGATCCTACTTTCAGCCTCACTATTCCATTCAACATCTATTTTGAAGCTTATAAACCTATTTTGACGCTAAAGAAAGTAAAAAAGAAAATTTTTATTATATATTATATTACATATATATTGAATTCCCAAATTAATATCCATATATTGAATATCCAAATTAATATCATATATTGAATATCCAAAGTAATATCAGAGTAAAAGCAGGAGTAAATTGCATCCTTAGAATTAAATCTATTTTGCTAACTTAATTTCTACTGCACTGTAGAATTCAAGGTGTAACATGGGGCCAAAATTTGTACACGGAACGTTTATAGCTTTACAGCATAAAAATCCAATAATACCCGACTGTCGTTTGAATTGAAGTAGTTTCATCAGAAAATTGCGCGAATAATTCTGTATCCGTTGCGAGCAACATCACTTGCTGCGCGGCTTGCGACTTTTCACACGGTGCGTCATCTCCGAGCCGGCATCTCGGTCGAAAGTGCGTCGAACGTTATCCAAGCGACTCGTAAAGCCGCGACCGGCTGATATACACAGGCTGCACATACGCGATCGCATACGTAACGCCGCGGGGATCTTCTTCCTAGGAAGTGTCGGCGCACGACACCAAGCCACGCAGCGAATGAAAGTTTTTACTTTCGTTCGGCGATATTAACGAGCCCGGATACGCGATGTTAAATTCAAAC